CCACACCGCGAGTAGACAATGACAAATCTTATTCAAACGCAGTCCAACGTAACAAATCGGTCGCTGTACCCGCCAGGGTTAGTGTTCACGATGGAAGAGTTGGAAAAAAGAACTCTAAAACAAAACAAAGGTCAAAACGCCCAATGACACCGGCGGCAGTCACAGAAAACCCAGCGCCACAAGTCCAACAATCTACAACGGAAGGCACCTTCCAAGTAGTTGAAAGGACCAAAAAGCGAAAAGGTAAAAAGAAGACTAATATAGACCTGAATACAATCAGAAAACCACCAGCCTTGCCAAGGTTTATCCTAAAGGACTCCGCGACAAGCGAAGAATATCCTAAACTATGGAAAATGTTCTGGACAGTACTAAGGAATAACATTAAAAACCCAAGACTGGCGGTTCATAAAAACCGCACAAAAGGTCCAACCATACTAGTACCGGACAATAAGGACACCTTAGATGCCCTGAGAGATAATACCTTGGTCTTGGAAATTATTCCGAGAAAGCCACGGTTGACTCTTAAAGGCCTAGACAGCAGCCTTAAGGACGAGGAAGTAATTCAGGAACTGCTAGATTGCAATCCGGAATTGGGTCTAACCGAGACCGATGCACAGGACATCAGAGTGGCCTACCACTCTGGGCCAAGATCAGGGACGGTTACCAACTTTGTCCTTGAGGTAAGTCCTGAAATTCTTCGAAGAATTGAAGGAAAGAAAGCGTATATCGGCGGCATTCGATGCACACTGATTCTGAATCATTCAGTGTCACAGTGCTTCAAGTGCCAGAAATACGGTCATACGTCAAAGAATTGTCGTGAAGAAGAAATGACATGTAGAAACTGTGCTGGCAGCCATGACAGCCGAACATGTCAGATCAAAGAATTTAAATGTTGCAATTGCAAGGGCGAACACAAAGCATCTAGCGACAGCTGTCCTACAAAGACAGCCGCTCTGAAGCGCCTGGCAAAGCGGACTGACTTCGGCCAACCGCTTGCGACAGGAACTACAGATAAAGAACAATAATGAACGGCCTGAAGATAATTCAGGTCAACTTAAACAAACAAATGATCGCCTCCGAACAACTGAGGGACATATGTTTGAAAGATAAGGTTGACATCATACTCGTCCAAGACCCACTTATAATTAATGGCTACGTGACTTGCTTCGAGGGCTGTCGACAGATTCTGTCCGATGACAATCCCGAAGCTGCCATAATTATAACAAATAATAAAATCAAAGCAATAAAAATGGGACAATTTACAACTCGTTATATTGCGGTTGCCAGAATTGGCATCGGCCTCAGTAAAGACGACGTTGTGATAGTATCAGCTTACTTTAGGTATAACAAGCCCACAACAATGTTCACAGAACTACTGACCAATATCAGTTTGGCAAATAGACGCCTATTGATTGGTGCTGATTGCAACGGCCATTCCATAAGATGGCACAATGACTCCACCAATGCAAGGGGAAAGATAGTTGAGGAACTGGTCGACGATCAGGATCTCCGCATAATAAATACCCCTCAAGATCTAAAGACTTATAAAAGGCACGGAATGGGTGAGTCCAACATTGACATTACACTGGCCAGTACCTCGATCAACAGATCAGTAAGAGGCTGGACCGTGACCGACCGGACAGACAGTGACCACAGGACACTGGAATTCACTTTAAACCTCAAAAGTCCTAAAAGGAAAATTGAAAACCCAGGTACAAGGTTTAATACAGACAAAGCGGACTGGGACAAATTTAGACTCACGCTCTTGGGTCTAAAGACGAATATCCACGGCGATTCTGTTGACGAAATCGCATGCAGCCTAACAGAGGCTATTGTCCAAGCAGCAAAGCTATCCATGCCAACGCGTGGAGGGGCTAAAACTGGTATAACAACACCATCGTGGTGGACGGATGAACTCACTAAGTCAAAAAAATCACTTCAGCGAATCAGGCGAGAGGGCCTCCCTGATACAAACAGGCAGGCATATCAGCACCAAAGAAACCAACATCTGCATAAAATCAGACTCGCCAAGATGAGTTCTTGGCGCGAGTTTAGCGCAGACATGAATACTAACTGTTGGGGCAAAGCCTTCAGATGGGCTAAGAGTGGCTCACGGAAGAATCCAATGCCCACCACGGTTAAAACCAGTGCCGGGACTTATACCACCGACATTAAAGACACCTTAGATACGTTTCTCGAGGCCTATTTGCCCGAGGATCGGAATATGCCAAGTTTTATGCCTTATGACCACCAGGCAGATGACACACCTCCTGACAGTACAACTGCACAAGAGGTAAAAGAAGCCATTTGGAAAATGAAACCAAGTAGAGCACCAGGTCTGGATGGCATAACCGCCAAGATGCTTAGAATTGCATGGCCAGTCATCTCAGACTCCATAACGGATCTATATGAGAAATGTCTAAAAATTGCAAGATTTCCCAACTGTTGGAAGATCGCCAAGTTGGTGATCATTCCAAAAGGAAAAGGAAAGAACCCACTTCTTACGGGGTCGTACAGACCAATTAGTCTGCTACCAACTCTCGGTAAGGCATTGGAGTCTCTAATAACATCAAGACTAGAAAAAGAAACCGGACTAAACGAAATAGGCCAACAACACGGGTACGTCACCGGAAGATCAACCGAGACAGCCGTTAAAGCATTATATGACTGGACAGATCAGTGTCCTAACAGGATAATAGTTGGTGCCTTCCTGGATATTACTGGCGCATTTGACTACGTCAGATGGTCACCAATATTCGAACGATTAAAAATCCTCAGGATCAGTAAAAGAACGCTTGCACTACTTGAGAGCTATCTCACGAACAGATCAGCGACACTCATGTCTGACAAAGAGACCAGAACAAGGCAAATGACACGCGGCTGCCCACAGGGGTCGAGACTAGGACCGACACTCTGGAAGGTAGCGATGTCGGATGCATTCGAGCCTATAGGACACCAATCACACATGATTGCGTATGCAGACGATATAGCACTCGCAGTCGGGGCTGCAAGATTAGACACAGTCAAGAAAAGACTTAGTCAATACTTTGACCAACTCACAAACTGGTCAAATAAATTCGGCTTAAAATTCTCAATGGCAAAGAGCCAAATTATGACACTGAAAGGCGGGGTCAAACCCACCTACACGGTGCCATTTGGCTCAAACGCAGATGCCATACAGATTAAAGCTACAAAGACAGTAAAATACCTTGGAGTCATCATAGATCCGAGAAGATCATTTAGAGATCACGTCGAAGACATCTCAGATAAGTCAAAAGAAATGTTCTTACGCCTACGCTCCATGACATCAGCTAACTGGGGAGTAGAACAAAGCACGTCACTGATAATTTACAAATCGGTGTTCTTGCCCAGAATAACATACGCCGCCTCCATATGGCAAAAAGCACTAGAGCTCAAATGCTCAATAAAGACCCTAGGAAGCATTCAAAGAGATGCCTTACGAGCAATAACGGGCGCATACAGGACAACGTCAACAGCTGCACTTCAAGTCATATCAGGGCAACTACCTCTGGACTTAGAAGTGAAACGCTTTATTCTTAGAAGATCCTTAAAGACAAATGATATCACATATCAAGAATATGAACGGCACTTGCATGATCTGTTAGAGGTCTGGCAAGAAAGATGGAATACAGTGGATAAAGGAGAGTGGACATTCCAACTCATCCCGGACGTAAGAATCCGGTATGGATTGCCCCTTACTATGGATCATTATACGAGCCAAATGCTCACTGGACACGGAGACTTTCGAGGAAAGCTCCATTCGTTCAACAAAGCACCGGCTCCAGGATGTGCCTGTGGAAATGGCAGTGAAACAGTCAAACATGTTCTCCTAGCCTGCCCAAGAACAAAAATCCAAAGACAAAATCTGAAAAGAAAACTTCAACAAGAACAATGTCCTTGGCCACCATATGACGGGGCCATACTTACAAATAAGACAACATACGAAGCCTTCCGAACATTTGCTCGGGAGAGCCTCAAGCAAAGAACAGATCGATGATCCGAAGATCGCCCTGCGGTCTGGGCGGTATAAGAATAGGTCCGCAGTCTTGCCCGCTTGTCGTAAGAGGCGACTAAAGGGATGGCCAGTCGGGGCCGGCGTCTGGGACGCGGACACACCGAAACCTTCGGGGACTAGGGTGTCGGAGGTTTTGACAGCGACCTCAAGAAGAGCGTGTCGATCACTTCGGTGATGCCTCGGGGAGGCGTAGCAAAGGCTACCGAGCCTAACTCGGGGGTCGCGGCCACCGCGCCGGCAGCGAACGCCGCTGGTAAGGGCCCACCGAGAGCCTGTGGTACACGGACACGAATCTTGGAAGGATCACAGCCGAGGCTTCGGCCGACGAAGCTCGGTCCGACCATCTCACCATTGATGTGCTTTCCTAACGGGAGCGAGAATGGTACTTCGGGATGTGGGGGAGCCCCGCGGCGTTGAGCAATTGACGCCGTGCCCCCATACGACGGTCCCGCACCGTTAGATGCGTGGCCGACGGCGGTTTGGTTTCGAAGTGGCTGTTAGCAGGAGCTAATCATGTGGTTAAAAGACCAAGCTAGGTCTAGGGGAAAGCTGCCGAGTGAGACATCTCCTTAGCGCCCACCCAGCCTACCGGAGAGGCTATATGTACCGGAGGTTGCCCGTGACCAAAAACGGGAAGCAATGAGGATAGCTTGCGACCCAACCAGGGTGGCGAAGGGCACGTGCACGCCTCAGCCAACGGTACGGGCGCACTCTCTCCCGACTTCGGTGGGAACGGGTGTGCGCCCGGTGCTCGTGGTCCATAGACGACGCGCGGCCGGCTTGCCGACCGTGAACCTCCGCGGTTCTTGACTAGCGCACAGCGCTAATAAAAGGCCCGTGGTTGTAGCCGAGAGGCACCAAAACCTAGGAATATACATGTCCATTATTCAGAGAAAAGTCACCAACCGAACGTTATCAAATAATTAAAGATCTGAAACGTTGTTTTAACTGCTTCAGCGCGCACATGGCGAGTGAATGTATGAACCCAAAAAAATGCTCAGAGTGTAGTGCAAAGCACCACACCTTGCTTCATTTCGGTGACCACGAGCAGATTGTCACTTCTGCACATGTCACGGTGGCCGCGTCGTCTACCAGAGACCCCCATGCCTCAGTTTTGTTAGCAACCGCCAGCGTGGTGATTCAGAATGAAGAAGGAAATCACGTCACCGTACTAGCACTATTAGACAGCGCCAATCAATGAAGCTTTACAACTGAGCGTTGTGCTCATCTATTGCAATTGGTCAGAAAAAAATGTGACGTTATGGTACAGGCTCTGTCTGGGACACGTGTCCCTGTGGTAAGAGGAAGCGCCAACATAATTATACGTCCGGTCGATCAAGAAGAACCGCAATTTAACGTAGATGTCCTAATTTTATCTCGTATAACAGGACCTGTGCCGTCAGAACGCGTGTGGTCAGATAACTGGCCCAACATACATGGATTACAATTAGCCGACCCTGAATATTCCGAGACGCTACCGATTGACGTTTTGCTCGGTGCCGATGTTTTCCCGCACCTTTTCCTAGGTGATAAAAGGGAAGGTATCGCGGGACAACCGATTGCCATGTCTACGGTCTTTGGGTGGGTGCTCATGGGAAAAACGTCTAGTGCACCAGACAGGAACATAGTTACTATGTGCTCAACCATGGATTCAGTAGACCGAACGTTACAGCGTTTTCTAGAAAACGAAGACGTTCCAACCGTAGAGAAATCTAGTCAGGCTGACTTGGAATGCGAACATAATATCAATCAACCACAACGCGCCAATCAGATGGTCGTTATATAGTGCACTTACCATGTCAGCAAGACCCACCACTTCTCGAGAAATCGAAAGACGTGGCATTGCGTCGGTTAGAACAGTTGGAAAATCGGTTCAAACGGTTTCCTGAGCTCCGTGACGAGTACCAAAACGCAATGAAAGACTATCTGGACTTGGGTCATATGTCTCAAATAAAAGTGCCATCAGTCGAGGAACAGACGAGTGCGTATTATATTCCCCATCAGGCAGTGCTGCGTCCGGAGAGTACAACTACGAGAATGCGTGTTGTTTTTGACGCTTCGGCAAAGTCTTCTTCAGGGCTATCTTTGAACGATAACCTTTGGTGTTGAGAAAAACTACAACAGGAATTACCAAGCATAGTCCTACGTTTCAGACTACACCCCGTTGTATTTACTGCTGACGTAAAGCAAATATTCCGTCAAATAAAAGTGACCGAAGCTCACCGGCCGTACCAACGTTTACTATACCGTTTCACGCAAAATGAGCCGATTCAGGAGTACGAAATGAATACGGTGATGTTTGGTCAGAAATCCTCGCCGTTCCTAGCCATACGGACTCTACATAAGTTAATAGAGGATGAAGCCGCTAACATGCCCACCATGCGAGAGGTCGTACAGCATGACTTGTATGTGGATGATGTGGCGACAGGAGCAGAAACCTAAGAACTGGCAATGGAACTTCAAAAAAACCTCGTGGAAGTTTTCGCAAAAGGCCAATTCGAATTCAGGAAATGGTCAAGTAACTCAGAAAAATTACTGGCTTCTATTCCTGTTGACCATAGGTATACACACCCAGTCACACTCATCGAGCAAGAGTCTGAGCAAACCAAGGTACTTGGTTTAAACTGGGACCCAAAAGCTGATGTACTTAGTTACAAATATCAACCCAATCCTGTGAAATATAGCAAACGCGCTATACTTTCCGAAGTTGCCCGTATTTACGATCCTCTTGGGCTGTTATCACCAGTTACCACAGACCTCAAGAGACTCATGAAATATCTCTGGTTGGTAGAAGTCAGTTGGGATGAACCCATCCCGGAAGAAGCGGCGACAGCGTGGAACAAATATCATCAGGAATTGCCCATGTTGGCCACGTTAAAAATTCCTCGTCTTGTCACACATACTCGTGCGTCGTATGAGTTGCACGGATTTAGCGACAGCTCAGAGGCAGCATACGCAGCAGCCGTATACATACGTGTAACTTCAGAAAGCCAAACCAATTGCCACCTTCTGATGGGAAAGTCGAAGATAGCCCCAGCTTCAAAGGTTTCTGTCCCACAGTTGGAGTTGTGCGGCTCGTGGCTACTTGCTCGTCTCATCAATTACGTTCAGCAGCACCTCGAAATGCTAAAGATATCAAATGTTACTGCTAGGACGGATTCATTAGCATTTTTCATACTTTTAAATCTTTTTATAAATAATATTAATTTCTTTTAAAATAAAAATATGTTTTCAAAAATTAAATTTGTTGTACTTATACACCAGCTACGGCAATGGTAAATAATAGTAGATTATTATAAATTAATTTGTCTATTTTCTAGCATTCAAAAATTTTGTTGTCAGTTCCTTAACTAAAGTTAAGCATGAAATTTCTGCGATACATTCAACTGTGAATTCAAGCTATATGATATTAGAAGGCTTTATTAATAACTTTGGACAATCGAGAGCTACAGAAATAGCTATGCAGTATGAGAGTGGATGTAGTTTAGATGATTTCTTTCCAATTACAAATGAAGAGGATTTACAATTACTTAACAATAAAATTAAGTCTGATAAATAATTTCGATGAAATATGGTAAATTTATAAACTATTATTTGTTGAAGCAGCTGTAAAAGTGTTAGTTCAATTTTATTTAGGTTTCCAAGTTATCATTACTCATTACAAAAGATGTTGGTGATAGCTTGAGACGACTTATGGGACGTATGTTTATCGATGATGTTTTAACCGAGTATTCTCTTCTGGGAAAAAAGAAGAAAAAAAACTTCTCAGAATTGCCTGTTTATCAACTATTGATAGGTGAGTACTTAACTTAAAATTATTTATTTATTAATAATAATACTTTTGATACTTTTAGGTACTGTAGCCTTTAGTTAGTATCATAGTTTAAAATTGACCTTATTTATTAGGTAATAACTTATTAGGTTAATGATGATATAAATAAGCCACACCCCAAAATACATAGTATGCTAAAACTCTTGTTTAAAATTGGCACTATTAATATAAAATTAAGGCCCCTGTAAACCCTATTAATTTTTCATCAAAACAACTTTAGCGACTGACAAAAATTAAAGTACTTCTAGTGGTTCAATTTAAAAAATGTAAAGATGTTTTGATTGGTCAACAAGTCTACTTTGCATCGGTCGGAGCATATTTTTTATATTTTAAATACTTTTGAATATATTCAATACTAAACATTTATAAATGTATAAAATGTAAAATATTTATTCTCGTCAAGAATTTGCTAAAATTGAAAAAGTGCTCCGACCGATGCAAAGTAAACTTGTTACTTACCAACACAAACATCTTTACATTTTTTAAATCGAACCACTATTATAGAAGTACCTTTTTGTCAGTGCGACGGCTATTTCACGTCCATATATTGGTTTTGAATATTTTGATCTAGACATTCAATGACTTGTGCATGTGCGTGCGTGCGACCATAAACCAGATAAGAATAACAATGTATTGTAAATTGATGCGGGTCGTGGGTGATGTTAGGGGAGTATACACACACATGATCATTTACTAATTACTACACACACAAAGACGATCAGTAATCGCAGGAACGAAATAATTGCCTAAACACAACTAATTAAAAATGACACGTTTGCAGGGGCCTTAATGAGCTTTTAATTCAAGTCTAGTATTTTCAACCCAATTTATAAAAGATTTATGTTTTAAAATACACTACTAATAAATTGAAAATTAGACCAATATAATTATTAATTATTTACCTTAAAATAAGATTATATTATTATTGATTGTTTAAATACAAAGTAAATGTAAAATAATTTTTAAATATTATAATGTTACATTTTGTGGTGGACATTTTATTTGTATTAACTTTATATGTTTTATTTGTTTTAGATGCATTGAGAATCCATCAAAAATACAAAGATAAAATCAATAAAGATTTTAATGACCCATTGGCAAACTGGCTCAATCACTCTAAATTTAGACATCTAAACAAAGCAGTTGAAAAAAATAACAAACTATAAATTGTGTTCTTTTATAAATATGAATTAATAAATAATAAACAATATATTAGGTACTATTACTGCATTAAAACTTTGTTTTATTTAAAATCTGCTTTCCATTTTATATTAAGGTACTCAAAATAATTAAGTATATTATTTAATCATTACTTATAATTATTGTAATATAGGTAATGGTGTTATTGATGTATTATTGAATGATATTTGATTTTTGTTTAAAAACAGTAAATTTTTATTAATTGTATTTATTGACAGAAGTTATTTTACAATTAATACATTCAATCTATTAGTTAACAAACAAATTTAAATACAAAAACTACAAGACAGTATAGGGTATAAACTGTATATATTATATATACATATAATATGTTATGTATTGTCGTATCACCCGTATTGGATAATACGTGGTAAACCTACTATACGCCTCACCCTCGTATTCTCTAGCTAATGACACTCTCTAAAATTAATTAGAATGGCACTGTTAACTTGGAGGTACAATGGTGTGCGTTTGTCAATCCTAAGTTCTTTCCAATCTAGTAAAATGACTCAAAGATTACATATACCTTGGCACTATTCAGTTTAATAAAACCTCATTGACACATAGTAAGTATATCCCGGCGCTGCTCCTATTAAAGGTAAGAACTTAAGAATGACTTAAATAATTGCAACTCGGGTTTTCAAGTCGGAAACACTTTTATTATATTTAAATAACAAACACAAAATAAAATATACTTGGCGAATTCAGATCGCCTAGCCCGTACTACGATCGACGTTTCACACGTACGACCACAGTACCTACGTCCTCGCCAGTCGCCGATTCACTCAGCGACAACGGGACTCCCCGTGCCTGCGCGTGCGGCGGTGTTATATAGTAATCTTATCGCTGTCTCAGCACATATGCTTCACTGACCTATGTCAATAGTTTACAATTTAAAATGTTCCCACCTCTATTACATATATGAAATAATATTTTGACGACTGTCTACAATATACGACAGTATATATACAACATACATATTATATGTTATAATATATAGGTATATAAAAGAATTTAAGTAATGCTGTTAAATTTGTAAATAAATTTGAAATTATATTTTAATAAATTTGTTACAAACTCATGAAAATGTTCTGAAGACTTCTAAACACTAATATTAGAATATATTAAAGGTGTAATGAACGGGCCGGGAGCATAAAGAGATAATACGCGCGCCCGAACTCCAACGCCTGTCAACAATACCACTAACACCTAGAACTTAGAAGGGAGAAATTATATGAAAATAGCTGGGTGTGTAGTGGTGTAGTAGTTCAAACAGCAGTGGTCGGGGTCGCCGGGCAATTACTGTAGAACTACGTGAACTTAGCAGTGTAATAATAACAGACAACTTTTAAAATGGTCTAACAAATTTGTTAGTGAGTTGTTAGAGATTGTTAGACAACTTTCAAAGTTTGTTAGACATTATTTTTGGCGCTAGAATTTTTTAACTTTTGCATTGCTACTACCAGCAGTGCAAAAGTTTGTTAGAACTTTTTTTTTTCGCTCAAACTAGGTTTGTTAGACATTATGTACTAAGCTAGAAAATTTTAAATTACATCGCTCCCTATTTATTTTATATGTCTTATACAGCAGCGATTTTCAACCTTTTTATGTAGTCGTACCATTAACATAGTTTTAAAATGCTCGTGTACCAATTAACCACATTTCGGTTTTTTTTATCATCAAAATTTAAACGTTATTTTACATGTACATATGAAATATTATTTCTCTAAGAACTACAATTTATGGAAAACGTAATATTCACAGTTATTAATGATAGGTATCAGATGGAGTCACAAATATAATTTAATGCAAATAATGATCTTTTTCAGTTTTTTCTTGAAGCGAGATTTTCTTAGCGTACCACATATGAGCTTTCTACGTACCACAGGTTGAGAAACGCTGTATTAGAGTGTCAGAAAAAGATTGTGCGCACGATTTTAAAGTCTTTGTTGTCGTCAAAATTCAATATCTAATCTATAACATGGGTGGCCAACATGATTACGTCCACGTACTACATGGATAAATACATTGATATTAAAAGACAAAATGTCAATAAATACATTTTATAATTTTTATAATTTTTTCGTTAATAAGTAAATATTGTTTAATTTTAATACGACACGAGCCGCAAGTTAGCCACTCCTGGGGCCCAATTCTTGAAATCATACGACTAATTCTTACATGCGACAAGAGTCATACATCTTATCGACTGTGACAAATTTTTATCCCATGCGACATATAATATGTATTCTTGAACTGAAATCGATAAGATTTTATCACTTGTCGAATGCGACAAAGTAATCGAATGAACCACTGTGGTAACAACACAAAATTTAGATTTTAACCTCAAACAAATTAAAAAATTTGCAAAGATTAAGGTTTATCTTTTATCACTGATTTTAATGTCGAGTTCATAAAACACTAAGATACTAAATTTACTTTTAGTAATTTTTTATAATATTATAATATAGTTGTATTACTCGATATTAGATACCTAGGTATTATACCTTTGGTCAATAGGATATTAGGAAAAAAGTCTTGGAAAAAGTCCCTCATAAAAACGTCACACGGAAAAAATTCCCCTCGTAAATTATTTTTAAAAAAAAATAAAAAAAATCTTATAATAATATTTAAAATAATAAATATATTTATTCAGACATATGGATTACCCATCGTTAATTAATTAAAAATAAAATAAAATATATATTATAATAATAGTATTTAAAAAATATAAAAAAGTTTATATTTTGTTTACCTATCGTAAATTAATTAAATATTTAAAAAAAAAAACGTATCTTATATTATTAGTATTTGAAAATATAAAAATGTATTTAATCAGATATGTGGTTTACCCATCGTAAATTAATTAAAAATTTAAAAAAAATACCTTATCATAATAATATTTAAAAATGTATATAAAAATGTATTATCTACAACAGACATAGGCGCAACTAGGGGGGTGATTGGGAGTGCTTCAGCACCCCCTGTCTGGAACACCAAAAACTAAAAAAATATATGTAAAGAGAAAAAATTTTCTTCAACAGTATTTTAAGTAAAGTGCATCTAGTTGGTGCATTCGGGAGGTGAAATTTTGAAATTCCCTATAGTTTTTTCTCAATATTATAGATGAATAACTCTTACAAAATGGCTAGTTTAGAATTTTTTTTATTAGGCCATGGTAAAAATGAGTCCATATAAGGAACATAATATTATTAATGTATAAGTATATAATTGTTTACTAGTTTAGTTTTTAGTAATAGTTTTTTTTATTTCTACGTTTTATACCACAAACTTAACAATGAATATATGTTAAATAAAAGTAAATGATAAGTACTACTTATGGCTTATTGTAGGTAGGCTCAAATATAGTGGTACCTACTACCTACCTCTCTTTAACAAACTTATTTTTGACGAAACTTTATATTACAACAAAATGTACATAGGTAGTTAATTTAAATGTTTTTTTTTTTTAATTTAATTTATTTATTAATATTATATATTATTATTTATATGCATTTTGTACACTAAAAATAAGTTATATAAATGAAAAAATATCACTGATATATATTAAAAACATTAAAGTAATTGATTGTAAATTTATATTATTAATTGATACTATAATTATTTTTATTGGTAACTTCAACTAAATTCTAGTAAAAATATTTCTGAAAATGTAGCTATTAATGTTGAGTAAATTTGGCTAAATTAATACATAAATAAATTAGCAATAATTTAATTTTGTTCACAGTAACGAAATAATATTTTTTTAGGTATATAATCTTATTTAATTTATATTATGTGCTATTAGTTGAAGAAGTATAATTTAGAGCATTGACTTTTTATTTAGATTTTATCGATTTAAGACTATTTGTATAGTACGAAAAATTGGATATTTTAGAAAAATATTTCACTATTTCCAATTGATCAAGGAATACTGATGACAGGTAAAAAATAAAATAAATTAAATTATTTCTCATTTAAATTAAATTATTAAAACCAAAAATCATTTTGGTGTATTTTCTAGGATCATTTAGAAGATTACAAGATGCAGTCAATATGGTTCCCTCACAACTCGATAATTATACTAGAAAATGTTACAGGGATGGATGTGATGGTACTATAAGTGTCACAAAAGAACTTGGCCAACATTTATTCATTGAAATAAATATAGACACATGGAAGAAATTAGAAAGTTTAAAATGTCTCATTACGGATATACCTGAAAACATTCAAGTAAACAATACTGAGTAAGTGGACTAATGTAATTTTATTTTTAATATACATAAAATAGTTAATACATACTGAAATCCTAAACAATGTCCTTTTATGTTATATACTTTGATTAGCAACCCCTAGTCAAGATTTTATAGGTATCAGAGAAAAATATTTTAGGTTTTGTGTTTTTATTTCCATAAAACATTACATTAAAATCCAAGGTAAATTCGAAATTTTTATTCAATTCCAAAAATAAATAACTGTATCACATTGTCTACATTTATTTTCTATAAAACATTGTACCAATAACATAAAAGTATGATAGAATATTAGAAATGTAGGTACCCCTTAAAAATATCAAGTCTTGTGGATCTTGTTCTGTCACACATTCTGTACCACATTCAACTAAGCCTAACTAATATTATTTAACGACGCATAGCATATATCAAACTAATGAGCTATACGATACTATACCTCAAAACAAATATGTATTGTCTGAATGCGGCTTTATATATACAGGGATTCAAGATATTGTGGAATGCTTCTCTTGCGGACTTGTATTACATGACTGGAAGAAAGATGACATTCCATGGATCGAACACTCGAGACATAATTCCAAATGTATTTATGTATTATTATCGAAAGGTAACCACTTTGTAGAAAACATAATAACCAAATATGGAAGAACTTAATGTAATTGTGAAACTAAATATGTCACTCGCTCAACTGCTTAAACGTATAAACGATATTAAAATAAAATTTTGTATTTTATTAAAACGGGAGGCGTTCAAAATCCCGACAATGATAATCCCGAATGGTCAAAAACCGGAAACCAAAATCCCGACAGTCTAAAATACCGACAGTTCAAAATACCAACCATTTGAAATATCGACAAAATAAAATAATTTTATCTTATCTTATCTTATAAAAGTTTAATTTAGTACCTATATTATCTAAAACGCTCAATTATTTGTCCCAAGTCTCAGTGAACGATTGAACATTTCAAATGAACAAAGTATAGTACCTTTGTTTTAAATATAAGTTAGGAGTTTTTTTATTATGAGTGAAATATGTCAAATTATCCCATCTCAAAAAGGAAATGCCAAAATATGTGTCAAGGGATATTTAATGACAAAAGACAAGAATCGAGAGGACATATATTATTGGTGCTGCGAAAAAGGAAAACTAATGGCCTGCACAGGTAAGTTATTATTTCATTAACCGGAAAGACAAATTAATAAATTGGTTATATGACATAAGCGCCAAAGGTACGAAAATGACATATCATTTGCGCCAAAATAAATATTTCATATAAGTAGTTTTTCAAAATTGATATATCTTTTAAAAATGATATTATATGTATACTATATAGTATTAATATTATTTTATATAATATATGTTGAAATTTAAAAATATTATTCGTGGGTATTTGACATTATATACCTACGTTATAGACGTTTATGGGTGTCAACATTCCTTATCGATATTACCGTGCCGTTAAATTGCGATATGAAATAAGGTGATTGACGTGTACCGTGTACGTTATTATTTCATGTACATTGTCATTGTGTGGTACCGTTCATCCAAAAAATATATGTATAATAAGTTTCATTTGGGACATACTATTATGTTAATTGATAAATGAACAAATTTCAGTGGACTCTATATTTTAACTCACATTTTAATATAAATAATAATAACAATAGAAGTAATAATTAAAAATTATTTTTAATTTTTGCGTTTCATTCATAGGACGTGCAACCACTATACTTATCAACGAAAAACATTTATTACGTAAATTTTCTGATCATAATCACGCACCTGAATCAGCTAGGGTTGATGTATGTACTACTCTTAGCCATTTAAAAGATCAAGCACGAAATACCAATGACCAACCCTACCAAATTATTCAAAGTTGCGTTACAAATATGCCAAGTACTGCTCATCCATAAATGCCGAATAGAAATGCTCTACTGCAACAAATAAAGCGTGTTAGAAGGGAAAATACGCCATCGCAACCTCAATCATTAGAAGATCTAACAATTCCCGATTCACTGAGAACTACAATTGGCGGGGAGTTATTTTTAATTAAAGATTCAACCATTAGTGATGAAAAACTTCTACTATTTTGTACTAAAAATAATGTTCAACGGCTGTCGCATACTCGTTATTTAATTATGGATGGTACGTTTTGGACAGTCCCGACAATATTTAGACAGCTATATACCATACATGCACCTGTAGGAGGAGACAATTTTCGAGTTTTGCCACTAGCATATGCTTTAATGTCATCAAAATCTGAAACCCTGTATATACGTCTTTTTCAAGACTTAATTTATTTTTGCGAAGATAATGGCGGGCAACTAAATCCATATTGGATAATGACAGATTTTGAACAGGCGGCAATAAAGGCATCAAAAGCTGAGTTTCCTAACGTGAAAAACAAGGCATGTTTTTTTCATTTATCTCAAAGTACTTGGAGAAAAATTCAATCATCTGGCTTGGTGAATTTATATGGTACAAACGAAGAGTTTAGTTTAAAAATAAGACAAATGCTTGCCCTGGCTTTTATTCCATCTGAAAATATACCTGCAGCATTTGATGAACTTAAAGCGACATTTCCTCCTGAAGCTGAAGAAGTTGTCCAATGGTTTGAAGACAATTATGTACATGGCCGGATTCGTCGCCGAAACCAAAGAAATGGTAATATTATACGCACAGACCCACTTTTTCCGCCCAAACTTTGGTCTGTGTCAGAATTAATGGACCACGGAATTCCTAGGACACAAAATATTGTCGAAGCTTGGCATCGACGTTGGTCAACTTTGGTTGGTAAACCTCATGTTGGAGTCTATACAATGATAGAGGAGCTTCAGAAAGAACAACAACGAGTTGACTTGGAAATTTAATGCATTAATCGTGGAGAACCAAAACCGAAACAGAAAAACCAATAATTGACAGAGAGAAAAGAATAATGACGGTATATAAAGATATATCAAATAGGAGTGTCTTAGAATTTTTACGGGGTTTGGCTCATAATATATCGATGTAGTTTTATATATTTTTTTAATTTTTTTGTTCAATGACGATCGGCGGTCACATTCCGAATATTAAATCCAATAATGAAAATAATAATATAAATTATGATGTACTTATATAAATATTAAATATAAATATTTTAAATAATTATTAACGAATATAATAGTATAAATATAATGTAATTGTAGTGTAATGTATTGTTTGAGTTTTTTAATGAAATTGTTGAATAATGAACATGATAATATTATGTAAATATGTTTGGTCGGGATTTTAAACCGTCGGTATTATGATTTGTCGGGATTTTAAGCAATCGCTACTGTGACTTGTCGGGATTTTACATGTCGGGATTATAATTGTCGGGATTTCGACCCAGACCCGGGAGGGAGCTTATTATTAATTATATATCTCGTATTATTCCTGCAAATTAAATTAAACAAATATCTGTTACCTAGATTTGAACCTTATATATTGAATTAAAAACTTCACGTCTTATCCATTAGGTCACGTATTTACAAGATATAGAATGGAATAATAACACATTTAAACTGTTTTAATAGGGTCTGGGTCGAATATATAAGGTTAAAATCTAGGTAACAGATATTTGTTTAATTTAATTTGCAGGAATAATACGAGATATATAATTAATAATAAGCTCCCTCCCTCCACACTTATCAATTAGGTCACGTATTTACTTTTTTGAAATTGTATTTAACTTTTTTAGTATAAAACGTTGTTGTATGAATAAAATATAATCAGTATACAATTAACACTCTGATAATCATAGTATAATTTTTTAAAACAATAATCGCCAGAACGAACAAAAATATATCGGTAAGTATTATAAGCTCGCTACAATATGATTTCACCGATTGTCTCAAGGTCAGAATTTGAAATTCGTCAATATGGAAAGAAAAGTGTAACAGTAGGTTTGTTAGCAGGGTCGGACTGGCCCGGACCGCAGGTCCGCGATCGCGGACTGGGCCCCCAAACTTCATGTTCATAAATATAAAATTAAATTAAAATAAGGTTACCATTTATAGTAACTGTATTTAGACATGTCTTAATATTTTGAAAATTAAGTTTCGTCTATGCACTCGGACCTACTCGTTAAATATATACCAATATAAATACGCCATACAGGACTGCTACGCAGGCCGGTGTCAACTAGTTATTCACAGTTTGCTCCGAGTCACGAGTTGTTCGTATCAACGCACCGGAGCTTAATAAAGGTGTATAAAATACTTAAATACGAGTAACTGTTGAAGTGCCTTCAACGAGTGTATAAAGTGTATTTAAATTGTTGTTATTTTTATTTACCTTACGGTTTAAAATGAATACCAAATTGAAAAGTGGTGCGGAAAAAAGGCGCCTAAAAGAACAACAAATGTTACTCAAGGCCGGTTCTGACCCAAAACAAAAAAAAATTATCTTTTCAAAGGTAATCACGAATGATAATTCAAACGTTTCATTTTCAAATGAAAATAAAGTTACTAATGGTATCATTTCTTCTGAATCAAAGGTAAATTTAATCCGCTACTCAGGAGTCTAGTTATAATTTTGTTATAGGTAATATTGCATTTTTTGGTGCTACACTTTGGTGGAGCAAAGACAAAGCATTAAGCTCAATTATAAAATTTAATGAAACTGACATAAAAAATTCAAGATTTTTATTATTTTTAAATTTTTTGCTAGAAATAATTTCAAATCACTCTACATTTGATTCAAAAACAAAATTCACTGCTCGCACTCTATTACAAAATTGGTCTAAGTTTGATGTGATTATGACTGCAGCAATTTATCTGGACATATTTAGTATTAGCTCACCTATTTCTAAGTTTCTTCAATCTCCGTCGTTAAACTATCTAACTGCTTTTAATATGATTAACAACTTGCATAAAAAAATTAGATCTAGAAGAGATAATGCTGATAGTATATTCATTAATCTTTATTCTAAAGTTAAACATTTTATTACAGAAATAAATAAAGAGCTAGAGTTAAATAGTAGTAATTTCACTATAAAAAATGATTTTAACAAGGGAAAATCTGTAGGTAGAGTATCAAAAAAAAAAATGTCTGGTGAAGAAGTAACAGATGAACCGCCAAATATTTCACCGACTGATAGGTTTAAAATTGAAACATTTAATTATATACATGATATTTGTGCAAACAGCTTGGATAAACGGTTTATAAGTAATACAAAATTACTAAGCGATTGCATTTGCCTGGATCCTAAACATTTTAATTCGATAAAAAATGAAGTACCTGCAAATGCGTTACTAGAACTTTCAATTCTAACAACTATTGATAGAAACACACTTGCATATGAATTACAACAATTTGCTTTACAGTTTAATTCTATTACTAAAACTTTTGAAGCTACTTTCACATATTATTTAACTGAAGACTCCCAATTTCCTATTTATGAACATGAACTAGATTTAGACGAAGATCAAGCATCCGTAATTGATCCATCCAATAATTGTAAAACATGCAATAACTGTTTACGTTGTGCTTTCAATGTGTTACATAATATAGTTCAACAGTGGTTGTTTTAACAATATATATTATGCATATAAATTTGTATTAACGTTGCCATGTACCCAAGTTACTTGTGAAAGAACCTTTTCCAAATTAAAAAATATCAAAACAAAACTAAGATCAACTATTTCCCAAGAAACAATGGAAGCATTGTTATTGATGAATATAGAAAGAAATGTTGAAATTGATAAAGAAAGTGTAATTGATTCTATTTGAAAGAGTTCTAATGAACTTTCAAAACTTTTGTTAAATTGAATTGTAATTTATTTAAGTTTTAAAATTATTTACATTTAAATGTTTATTATCATATTATGCACCTATATATTGTTTCATATTTGTTAAAGTCAAACAAATTGTTATAAATAAAAGTATGTGTATAAAATATTACACTTTTATCTAAAATGTTTATCATTATAATGTGTTTTTTTTTTTATTACATATAATTGTTATCTTATTTAAATACAAAAATGGAGAAGTAGAGAGCGGACTAACAATTTATAGTCCAACTTTAGTAAGGCAGTAAGGGCCCTTTCGTCAGATCGCAGACTGGGCCTTTTGTTGCCAGTCCGACCCTGTTTGTTAGTTAACAAAAAGATTTCGATTGTTGTAATATTAAAATGTATAATTACTAAAAAGAGTTTAAGCCTCGATCTAGACCAATGGCAATCATTAATGTGTGAAAATAATTATAAAGCAATTATTGATAATCTACAAAACCGATGTAAACGTGTAAGAATAACTGATAACTTAAGCTATTCCGTTAATGTGAAACAGTCTTCAATCATATTATATTCTAATGAAAATTATATAACTTTATCACATGTCGATTTGCAAAGGCTGAATGAGCTTGGAGCTTGTATAGATCTCTATATAATCGAGAAGCAGAAAAAATTACCATGTTACCAGAATACTTTTGACACAGCATATGCATTAATTATGGCAGATATTAACGAGTTACCCTCTTCTTGTCGACGGAATGAATTTCAAACTCATATATTCAGAATTATAACTTAAGTTATACTAATATAGAAACTAATGATATTTCTTTTATGTATGAATTATTACAATATCATTATAACTCATTATCAAATACGATATTACAAGAGTTAGAATTAGGTACATCAGCTATTAACCTGTAATTTATTTTTACACATCATGACACTAAATCATATACACTACTTTTGTATCACTTTTAAAAATAAATGTACGATTAGTTAATATATTGGTTTTTTATTTTAATTTTCAACAACCATTACAAACAGATTTATTATGATTTTGATTTTTTAATACATCCTGTTTTCTTGTTTGGATCAGACATGAACCGTGTAAATATTGTTTGTATGATGTTGGATAAATCGTTTGCGAGCCCTTGATCCTTTGCTAAATCAGTTATCGATACTTTTACACTGCACTCAGCTTCTTTCCATCTATAACATCATTAAAATGATAAGTATTTTACAATACAAATATATATACATATAGACACATTGATATATTATAAGAACCTTTTAACTATTACATACATCAACCAATGAATTTCTTAAATTATTTTTTTTTTTTTTTAGGAGTTAGTCATTGTAAGTTGTATTCATGTAAATTGAGACTCACTAAATTCTAAGAATCATATATTTATATAATATATATTACCTGTCTGTAGCAATAAGATTTTGAATATTTTTTATTTTATAGTGATTTATTGTCCAGTAATCACTACATACTTCGTTATCAAATGGTAATTTTATGTTTACTATTTCATCACTTTGTTTCACCATCATCGAATTAATAAGTTCATTATCTACTTTCACATCTTTAATTAAAAGAGCAATTCTATCCAGATATGAAATATTCTAAAAAAAATAATTATATTAATAATAATAATAAAAATTGTAATTTTATTTAATTTTTTTTTATTATACTGTAAATTTTAAATTTTTAAATTTTTTTTACATACTTTTTTAACTTTTGTTTTGCACATATTTTTTTTCAATTTCACATCTCTTTTTGTTTTATTTTGTTTTTTTGTGGTCCCCGGTTTCACCTCGTTATAATTGTTCTGAAATTATATACAATTTGGTTACTGAAAATCTAGTAAAAATATATACATCGTATTCAATACAATATAGACACAGGTATAATACTGAACCAGTGTAATACAGTATTATTCAAATATAACTATTAAATATATTATATTATAAAAATATAAATTTAAAATATATAAATATTAATTAATATTAATTTTGTACTTACATCGCTTTCAGTCATTGATTCTTCGTAATCACTAATGTTCGAATTAGAAAATGACATTTTTTTTTTTTAAATATATCTTTAAACAGTAGATAATTTGTAGCTAAAATACGTTGAGTGGATTTAAGTTCTACCTCTAAAAGTGACTTGCTATTTGTATTTTCTAATCAATTTATATTATATTAAGACCAATAATAATAATAATAATATAAATAGTAATAGTAGTGGACAGCGTCTGCAATAACAAGATACGGATATAGTTTTTTTATTATTTTTTTTTTTTTTTTTATTAAACGGTAAATCTGACCGCAGTCTTTGATTATACTGTCATATGTTATATAGACGTTTCATCGAAGCTGATATTATATAATGTGTATTATATATATTATTATAAAAAACTAATAACCACTTCAACGAAACGTCTATATAACAGTACTCATATTATCAGGGAGTTGACATTTTCATCTTAAACATTGTATTGACAGTCTCACAAACTTATAATATATCATATTGTCTCACAACGCTCAACACAAACATACACGGAAAAAAGTTCAATTTTTTTTTCAAATATTTCAACTTCTCAAATTAACAATGTAAGTATATAAGGACGGCGCGCGGGTAAAAGGGAATAAGTCAATTTTGGCCATTTTTCGTTTATTACGCCATCTAGAAGAAAAAAATATTCTACGTTTTTTCATATCAAAAATAAAATTATTGTTAGATTATTTTCTTATCTTTGTCTACGGTGAAAAATGAAACAAGTCATGGTGATAATTAATAATGCGCGGGTAAAAGGGATAAGTCTTATCAATAAAATAATGTTTGTGTAAAATGGAACAAGTCAACTTGTTCCATTATACGCAGTACTGTCGTAACATAAATGATAACAAATTAATATTATAATAACACTATATTTTTTTGTAATTTCTGAATCCAATAATAACTTATAATCCATTAGTTGAGTAGTAAGTGTTTAATCATAATTTGGTGATAATGAATTTTTTAGTGTTCTGTATCTGTATTTGGTTAACTTAATTGAAAATTAAATTGTTTGTATTAAAAAATAATACTTATTCTATTATTTTCAAAATGAACAAACCAGGTGTATCTAAAAGAAGCTATTTATTATTACAAAACTCGTCTTTTGTTGTTTCTAAAAATCCAAAATTTCATCGACAGTTGAATTTTGATTCTACTCAAAAACAACTTGAGACTGATAAAGTAAGTCACGATATGTTTTCTAAGTAAAATTTAAAACATGTTATGTAACTTTAGTACCTAGTACCTACCAATTTTTTCAAGTATAATATTGTTTTTAATTAATTTACTTTTCTTAAATTGATATTATTTATTATAGATAATAGACCATGGTTTGATATTGTCGAAAGGCAATCTAAAAACACATTAAAAAGCTGAATCGAGGGTTTCTAAAAAGCCAACATTTCATCGACAGTTGAATTTTGAATCTATTCCAAAACAACTTGATACTGATGAAGTAAGTCACTATGTTGTCTAAATAAAATTTAAAACATGTTATGTAACTTAAGTACCTATTTCCTACCATTTTTTTTTTAAATATATTGTTTTTAATTCATTTATTTTTCTTAAATTGATATTATTTTTTATAGATAATAGACCATGGTTTGATATTGTCGAAAGGCACTCTAAAAACACATGAAAAAGCTGAATCTAGGGTTTCTAAAAAGCCAACATTTCATCGACAGTTGAATTTTGAATCTATTCCAAAACAACTTGATACTGATGAAGTAAGTCACTATGTTGTCATTGTTGTCTAAATAAAATTTAAAACATATTATGTAACTTTAGTACCTAGTTCCTACCATTTTTTTTTTAAATATATTGTTTTTAATTTATTTATTTTTCTTAAATTGATATTATTTTTTATAGATAATAGACCATGGTTTGATATTGTCGAAATGCAATCTAAAAACACATGGAAAAGCTGAATCTTTCAAGATAAAAAATGATATAGTAGAATGTGAAAAATGGTTGAATCAATTGGAATCACCATCTACCCCATTGGAAGAGCCATATATACTAAAAGTCCATGCACCAGTATTAGTAGAACCCTGTAGTATTGTACAATTCAGTTCAGAGGTAAAATATTTCTAGTTTTCCTACAGTTAGTTAGTTATTATATTTTACTCTGTGTTATAGAATGATGTTGATGATTTAGATCTTGATCCAACCTATACTCCAACTAACGATGATGAACCTGATTTAAACTTAGATTGTAATCTCGATACCGAATATCCAGAAACTACTACAATACCAAGAGAACATGACATAGTTGAAGCTAATGTTGAAAATATTGAAAATCGACCCATATCTAAATCAAGATTAATTAAAACTGAAAGAAAATTAAAGCGTAATTCGGGGAAGTCATATGTTACAGAAAGTGGGAAAGAAGTACCTGAAAGAAAAATAGTAAAATTGGGTAATTGTCGTTTAAAATGTGCAGAAAAAATTAGCCAAGAACATATTCAAAGTTTGTTCACCAAATATTGGCAAATGTAAGATCGAAATAGAAGAGCTTCATATTTATCTGGACTTATTAATTATCAACCAAAAAGTACTGAGAGGAAGAGACGATCTACTCCAGAAAACAAAAAAAAGGTCAATAACTTATAACTATCAAATACCATTTTATGATAAATTAATTAAAGTTTGTAAAGCATGTTTTTTAAAAATATTTGGAGAAAGTTTGAAGTTTATTTGGACAATCTGCCAACAAAAATTGATAACTGGTTTA